GAGAACTGGGGCAGTCACCGGGAAGCAGACGACGAGCGCAGTTCACCCTCCGGAGAGAAGATAGAAGATGGAAGATAGAGAGAGAAAAGAGAAGATAGAGAAGGAAGAAGATAGAAGGAAGAAGATAGAAGGAAGAAGAAAGAAGGAAGAAGATAGAAGGAAGAAGAGAGAAGGAAGAAGATAGAAGGAAGAAGATAGACGGAAGAAGATAGAAGAGAGAAGAGTGAAGACAGAAGATAGAAGGAAGAAGATAGAAGAAGGAAGACAGAAGAAAGAAGAAGGAAGACAGAAGAAGAAAGAAGAAGGAAGAGAGAAGACAGAAGAAGGAAGAAGGAAGAGAGAAGACAGAAGAAGGAAGAAGGAAGAGAGAAGACAGAAAGAAGGAAAAGAAGGAAGAGAGAAGACAGAAGAAGGAAGAAGGAAGAGAGAAGACAGAAGAAGGAAGAAGGAAGAGAGAAGACAGAAGAAGGAAGAAAGAAGACAGAAGATGGAAGAAAGAAGAGAGAAGACAGAAGAAAGAAGAAGGAACGAGGGTTCGCGTTTATACCGAAGCACCTTGCACGTAACCGTTCACTGGCCTTCTGCCATACAATAATAGTTATAAATAGTACGTCACGCATTCAGAGCGCCCATCACGCGTCGGGTGACCCCCAGGTAACGATACTGCATAAACTGTAGTGTGTGTACAAGCAATAAATCTACCGGTTCCGTATATTTAAGATCTGTTGCTGTTGTGTTTATTTGCCTCGATTTTGTTTGTCTCCTGCTGCCACGCAACACAGTCCCGCTTTGCCACCGGGAGCAAGAAATGATCCCGCAAAAACAATAGTGCATTCACACGCACATAATTCTCGTAGCAGCGACCCCTAGCGCCACTACAGTACGCCAAGAACGCCCTCTATAACTTCTACTTCTACTTGGAATTTTTTTTATATCAACGCGCTTCGCGTTCGCGTTCGCGACCATCTTCGAGTCTGTTACACTGAGCTGTATATTATAACATGTATATTGTAGCATAACGTCATTCTATAGTGGCCTGCAAATTGTGTGGTATGATCAGAAATAACGTAAAACTGTAGGACTCCTGCTATTCCTTCTCTACGACTACGTCAATGATTTGTCACGCTGTATAAACTCATAGTATCGACTTTCACTGACGACTTCACTCTTTACAGGCAGGACCAGTGCCATTACCGTATGCATGACTGTATGACCCCAAGAAGATGTAA